TGAAAATATGCAACTTTGAGGATAGAGTGATAGTACAGCAAGCAGGGCGCTTGCCTGGCATGCAACCGACCAGGGTTTGATCCCCAGCATCTCATATGGTTCCCCAAGTCCCACCAAGTGTGGCAGGCCCCATAAAAAGGAAAAATGGTGTTTTGGGGGACAGTGATGTGGCTTGGTGATCAGGTACTTGCCTACAGAGGAAGCCGTGCTGAGCTGGACCCCTGCAGCCCGGCACACCAGATATGCGACATCTCTGGCACATCAGGCACGTGTGTCCCAGACACGGAAACAACCAAGGGAAACTAGTCAAAAAGTGAAAGTGAGATCACTTGACATCCCGTTACTCATTGATTTGCTCGAGTGAGTGCCAGTAACGTCTCCATTCATCCCTGTCACATGCTAGTGTAGCCCAATGGCAACTGCTTGCTCCAGGAACACGAAGAGTCTCAAACTGTCCGTGTTCCTCAAACTGTTCAGGTCTTGAGGAAGAAGTCTGACCATCTCTTAGGTGGGCGGCCACGCGATCTTCTGACGTCCCTTGGAATCCAGGAGGTAACAGTTCTAGTACAGCGGTCATCTCCAAATCACATTATGTGTCCAGCCCATCTGATTTTCAACACCTTGGCAAACGAGACAGGGTCCCTGATTCTTGATCCTGGACAGAGGTCGGAACTCCGGATTCTTTCTCTCATTTGAGTGAAGTGTGATACTCCAAGCATAGCTCTTTTGATTCCTCTTTAGAGACCCGAATAGTATTTTCATCCTGTTTTCGTAGGGTCCAGGTCTCTGAGGCTTATGATAATGTAGAAAGAACGGTGGAGTCTAAGAGATGTGCCCGAAGCCAGAGGTTCTTTGTCCTCTTAGCTATTTCTTCAATGCTCTTGAAGGCATCCCATGCCGCTCTCTTCCTCCTGCGCAACTCAGGTGCCAGGTTGTTCGTCATGTTGAGTTCTCGAGAATTGCTGCATTCGAAGATGTTTGTTCCTTTGAGAGCAAATGATACCTCAGGAACGAGTTCATTTCTCATGAACATTGTCTTCGTGAGATTCAACTGCAGTCCGACTTTCCACACTCATGGTCGAAGTCGGCCAGCATTTGTGCTGCTTGACTAATATTTGGTGTTATTAGAATAATGTCATCAGCAAAGTGGAGGTGGTATAGTTGTCAACTGTCTATCTTCACTCCCATTCCTTCCCATTCCAGTCCTCACATGACATTCTCAAGGGTGGCACTGAAGAGTTTCGGTGAAATGGTACCACCCTGCCGAACCCCTCTCTTGACCTGGATGATCACTTCTTTGTAGAATGGTGAGATCCTAGTAGTGAATCCGTAATACAGCTCACAGACGATCCTGATGAATTGAGTTTGAATGCCCTGTTTAGCTAGGGCTTCGAAGACCGCTTCAGTCTCAACAGAATCAAAGGTCTTTAAGTCAATGAACGTTAGACAAAGCAGCATCTTGAACTCCCGAGAAACCTCAATGAGCTTGGTTATCATGTGGATATGGTCGATCGTGCTGAATCATTTTTGAAACCCGGCTTGCTCGCATGGTTGTCCTTCATCTAGTGTTCTGCCAATCCTATTCAGGATGACTCGAGTGAACAGCTTGTAGACAAAAGACAATAGGCAGATCAGGCAATAGTTGCCAATGTCGTGGATGTCTCCCTTCTTGTATAGTAGTACAGCCCTGCTGGTTTTCCATTGGGACGGAACCTTGCATTCAGACAGGTAGCATGTGAAGAGCCAAGCCAATGTATTGATGAGTTCTGTCAGCAAATCCTTCAGGTGTTCGGGTCTGACCTTGTCTGGGCCGGGTGCTGTTCGCTTCTTTACCGACAAAATGGCGTGTCAGATTTCAGAAGGGAGAACACTGGGAACGACATATTCATCCTTTGGAATTTGGTATGTGGGCAGGTGGATGTGGCTATCAAAGAGATCCAAGTAGAAGTCACGGATAATCGTCTCCATTGCCCTTCGGGAAGATGTGATAGATCCACCAGGATGTCAGAGGTCAGTCATCTTGGTCTTGTAGTTGGCGAAGGACAGGCGGGCATTGCGAATGCTTTTCCCAACTTCTGCCACATTGGCCAGCACTGCTGCTCTTCTCTCTTTAAGGTCTTCCTTTATCACTTCTCTGCACTGCTCTGCCTCCTTTCACGAATCTCCAGTGACCCAGGGATCACAACCAGAAGACCCACCCTGCTGGGGCCAGATAAATACCTCATCAGCTGACCTCCACTATCTCCGCTACCCAGCCGCTGCACGCTCAAGGCCGCTTTCCAGCAGTCACGCGACACATCATAAGACACTTAATACCCATTTGTCATTATTGGTTTCATTTGAAAATATGGTTTGAACCATGCGAACACCCGCAAGGGCAATTAGAGGCCACCCAGAAAGCCTCTACCCTCTCAGAGAGCCCGGCAAGCTACTGAGAGTATTCCACCCACACAGCAGAGCCTGGCAAGCTATCCGTGGCATATTCGATATGCCAAAAACAGTAAATACGATGGGTCTCATTCCCCTGACCTTGAAAGAGCCCCCAATATGGCAGCGTTAAGAAGGATGAGCAAGGAGAGGCTGATTAAATCTCAGGGCTGAAATAGGCTACCAAAACAAAGAAGGACTAAAATGATTGTCTGTACTTTCAATGCACATACACTGGCATCGGAAGGACCTAATGGTGTGAGCGCAGAAGATCAAGTATGACATCATTGGTCTGACCAAGAGGAGAAGACATCGATCACATCACACCATTTTTGACACTGGAGAAGAACTGTTCCTTGGAACATGCAACAAAAGAGGTGTTGGTGGTGTCAGTGTCCTTGTCAACACAAACTTGGCCATGAGCATTGATTCATTCAAATGCTTAACAACCCGAATTGGATAATTACACTTGAACAGATGTGGCTCGCTGCCAGCAGTTTCTATCTTCATTGTCTATGCACCAACATCCAATTATGATGAAGAAATTGAGAAGTTCTACATGGAGCTGGAGAAGTTCTATAAGGAAGACCACACCATCTACAAGATCATTGTCGGTGATTTTAATGCCAAGATAGGACCGAGAACATTAGCCAAAGAACTCCACATTGAGATCCATGGCCTAGAATGGAACAAACAGGGTGAGAGACTATCTGAGTTCATCATGTCAACCAAGACCAATCCATGGTAACTCGCAGTTCCAGAAGGCTGAATCTAATCCTTGGACATGGGAGTGTCCCAGTGGACAGTTCCACAACGAAACTGACCACATCATATTTAATCGACGGTTTTGCCTGACCCATGTTGCTGTTGTCCCAAAATTCCAAACAGGATCAGACTGCCGTCTCCTTCGTGCAAAATTCTACTTCATGAAGTGGGGAGAAAGGGCTGCAAAGTTTACTATTTGGCACTATTGCAGCAACATGGAAAGATGCTGTTGTTGACGACATTGACAAAGAATACAATCGACTGGTTCAGCACCTCCATGATTGTGCAAGGAACACGGAGAGAGAGAAAGCCAGAAAAAGACGTCTGTCTTCAAAAATTCTCGAGCTTATTTGTCAACGTGGTTGGGTGCAAGCTCGGGCAACCACAAGCTAACATCCAAAAGTGAGATACTATGGTATAATGAAAGTCTGTTTTGCTCCCATAACCGCTGAGCATAACAAACCAACTAACTCAACTGGTTCCAGTGTGACCATTCTTTTTTGAGCACTGAAAAGCTACCAGTCTCTGGGGCCAAAGAGATAAGACAGGGGTTGTGGTGCATGCCTTGCATGCAGCAACCCTGGTTCAATTCCCAGCATATGGTGAGGCCCAAACTCATTGGCCCACCTTCCCACAAACTACTAATCTCTTCAATGATCATTATTCAGCTCTCAAAGCGACAGGTAATCTTTCCTTAGAACGTCTTAGTTACAAAGTGAGGTGGCCACTGGGTTTGAATACGGAGACTTTCATTTGTGTCTCCTGCACACGGGGTCCCTCACATATGCCTCATGCCCAGAATGCGCTCCGAGATCTCCCAGATGCCCTGACAGGGCTACTGCTGAGGTGTTCCCGTCCTGCTAGGCCTGCAAAGGACAAACGGGAGTCGAGTCTGGCCCATGCACGGCAGGGTAAAACCTGACATCTGCTACACCTGGGCAAGCATCCAGGAAACCAATATGAATGTGAAGATAGTTCCAGGTTGGGGAAACACACTCCAAGGCAAGTTGCCACAAAATATACAATTTAAATTTCAAAGCCTGAAAGCCTCCCTCTCAGGCATGAGCAGGCGTGTGACCACAAACTCACGAGCTAAGGCCTGTGTCAAGGAACTGGGAAACCCAAGATGCACCCAACATGTCCAACCAATTGCGCCACTCCTGTTTCAAATATTCTGTCACAAACTCTCTTACATTTTGCATTAAAAGGAACCATCAGGGGCCAAGGAGAGAATACAGTGGGTAAGATGCTTGCCTTGCATGCAGCTGACCTGGGTTCAATTCCTGGCACCCCAGATGATCTACCAAGCCTGCCAGGGGTGATCTCTGAGTACAGAGCCAGCAGTAAGTTCTGAGTACAGCTGGGTGTGACCAAAAACAAAAATAATAATCGTAACAAAACAGAAATAAGAAGAACCATAAAGTATTCATTTAGCCTATTAAGCTTATGCACTATTGCTTTAAATGAGTACAAAATTTCATTTCTATTCATTATAACAACTTGAATTACATATTTCACATCATATATTACAGTTTCTTAACCTGGAGTTCTGGGTACAAGGCCAGGTGAGTTGACAAGTGACCAGATAAAGGACAAGTTTCTGATATGTGTGGCAAATAGCAGGAAACTGTTCCCAGGAAGGAGAGTGCAGGGACGCAGGCCACAAGCGCGGGGTGTCAGCTGCTCGACCTGCCCACTGAGGGTATGCAACCACACTGGCTCCCACCTCCCCCAGATAAGAGCAAGCAGTTCAACCCAAGCTCGAGCCACCCAGCAGGCAGGGAGCAGAGACCCAGGGGTGTCTTTACCGAATGACGACCAGGAGTCTGCAGCGCTGGCTGGGGCCACTGGCCCGCCCCAGGGGTTGCTCTGGTTGGCGGAGACTGACGGGCCCCACGGCTCTGCTTTGGGGGCAGCAGGGCCCGAGCTGGGGAGGGCGTCCATTAAATCCAACAGAGTAGTCTGCGGTGGGTGCGAGCAGTGCTTTTGAGATAAACAGAAAGAGACAGGGTTTAGTTTGGCTACAGCAGACATTCACAGAGTGGCTGCAATGCTGCCTGCTCCTCTTAATGGAGCAGGGGAGGCCCAGGAAGGCATGAAGCCCCATCTCCTGCCCTGTCCCATCATCCACCAACCCTCCATCGCCTTTCCCCCTGCAGCTCAGCTGCTGATGGTGTGCCAAGGGCCGCCCAGTAGGTGGCTGCCCCTCCCCCTGCCTCCCTCCCAGTTGCTGGCCTGCAGCCAGGCCCCCAGGCTGTGCCCTCCCGCTCTCCCAGTCTCTCCCGGACGGAGCCCTGGGCCCTGTGTGAGAGGCTCTGTCCCTGCCTGGGGGTGAGTTCACTGGGGACAGAGCTGGGCCCTGCCACCTTCAGGACCCAAGTGGGAGCCTGGCCTGTAGTGGCAGTGGATAGAGGAACCGAGACCAGAGCCAGGAAGGGTTTTCTCTATCGGGAACAGTCCCAAAACACTTGCTATGCCCCAACTGAACAGGCCTTGTCAACAGGGCTCCTGGACGAAGAGCGGCAGGAACTGAGGGTCCACTCAGTATCCAGGGCACACAGGCCCACGGCAGCCAGGTGTGTTTAGCAATAATCTGAGGGTCTGAGGGTTGGGGTGGGAGTGTGGGGGGCCACAGCCAGCAATTCTCAGGGGGCTCACTCCCAGCTCTGTTGCTGGGGGACAGAAGCAGGATGGGCACTGAGCAAGGCAAGCACCTCACCCCTGCACTGTCTCTCGGGTCCCTGTGGTGGCTCACCCCTGCCGCAGGTGAGTGCAGGATGAAGCGAGTCTCCCAGTGCCCTTTCCAGGACGTGCTCACCTCTCTCTTTTTTGGAACTTTCACTGTGTCTCTTCTGCTTTCTTCAAGGGCCATCTGTAACCTGAGGTCATCCCCCCGCCTGAGCCGTTCTTCCTGCAGAGGACAATGGACCGTGAGGCCAATGGTCACTGTAATAACATCACTAAGAACAAAGCACCACAGACAAGAAGCAGGAAAAACAAAACTACAAGACAGATTCTTTCAGAGAAGGCTCATGGAACAATCTAGAACGGTTACACTTCTACATCCAACATGGCTCTCCTCCATCTCTCAGGAGCCTCCCCAGAGGGGGGTCCCAGCAGGGAGATGGGGGTGGCGGCATCACCAGACTGGGAGAGTACTAATGTACTAATGTGAGCGTGTGTTTTCCTCATAATGAAAATGGCTTTATAGTTCTTTCCAATTACAGAAGCAGTATGTCTCCTTACAAGACACAGAAATACGACAATCCAGAAAGGAAACAGAATGGGGATAAAAATCACTTAACACTCCACCTCCCACTGGGTGTGCTTCCAGAGATGACTGTAGGTATTTGTTTCTAAGATTTCTACCTGAAATGATTCATTATACTTAATTCCTATTTACTCAAGGCAAAGTTGTCATGTACAAAAGATGGGATCATCTGGCTTTTATCCTCTATAAGAGCTAAGCATAAATATATTCATTATATTTTGCTTCTCACAAATATGAAAATGGAGATGAGTGATGAGTGAATACGGGCTGGAGCTGGCTGTGGGGACTGTGCCGGGCACAGGGGCAGACTAAATGGCTGTGTCTCAGCCAATGCAGCTGCTCAGGGTGGCAGCTTTAGGTATTTCTGGATATTGCTATACAAATCCCGCGGCAATGAACTGCCACCTAATCACTCCCAAGTGAACCCCACTTCTAAGAGGGCAGCAAGCACTTGCTACTTATCCTTTCTTTTCTGCATTATTTTTTAATTGAATCACTGTGAGATACACAGATACAAAGCTGTTCATAATTGAGTTTTAGTCATACAATGTTCCAATACCCATCCCTTCACCACTTCACATTTCCTGTCACTGATGTCCCCAGTTTCCCTCCTGCCTCGATGGCAGGCACTATTCTTTCGCTCTCCCTCTTTCCTACCAGGCACTGTAATTTGCAAAACAGGTCCTGACAGGCTCTCATGCATGTCCGTTTCTCTTCTTTCAGCATGCAGTTTTATTTTTAGGGTTTTTTTTTTTTTTTTTTGCTTTTTGGGTCACACCTGGCAACGCACAGGGGTTACTCCTGGCTCTGCACTCAGGAACTACTCCTGGAGGTGCTCAGGGGACTATATGGGATGCTAGGAATCGAACCCGGATCAGCCACATGCCAAGGCAAATGCTCACCCGCTGTGCTATCGCTCCAGCCCCCACAGAACACAGTTCTTGTGTAGAGGGATCATTTCCAGCCACCACTGCCCTGGCGTCACTCTCTGTCCCAATTGTCCTCACACTCAACCCTTTTTAAAGGCCAGTTCTGGGAGACAGGCCTGAGAACTGTGGCCCGAGGGCGGCCGTCCTGGGAAGGTTTCAGCAGCATCTCCATCCCCTCCCCAGCACCCCCAAATGCTGCATGCTTATTAATGCAAACCAAGAACTGGGAACATTAAGCCTACACACACACTTCCGTCACTCTTGTTTCCTGAGACATTTTATTTCAGCCAATCCCCCCAACCCACCACCACCACCATACACATACATACAGTGTTTCGAGGTTTTTGATTCACTTTCCTATAATCTTCCCAGGACACACACACACACACACACAGTTCCGAGGTTTTTGATTCACCTTCCTATAATCTTCCCAGGGTGCTAAGCCACATGAGCCACGCCCTGATGGCCAGGCCTGCAGACACAGCACACGCTCTTGGCAAGACAAGGGCCCTGCCTCCTTTACTGTCCCTCCAGACCCTTGAAAGCACTGTTGACTGTCTCCTTCCTTGGCACCTGCTTTAAAACCTTTCCCTAAAGAACCCTGAAACTTGGTAGCTCACTCTGCAGAATACTCCCTCCCGAGAAAGAAACATGACGTGACCCTCGGGAAGCCCATCTGAAACGCCCAGGACAGGCCCCAGGTCACTGTCCTCCCTCACACAGAACCGTCACCAGGTGGACCCCACTGACCTGCTCGGCGACTTCTCTGCTCATGGCCAGTGCCAGCTGTAGCTGCAGCTCCTCTTCTCCACTCGTCTGGGGCCGGGCCTGCTCCAGCTCAGAGGACACCCGCGGGGAGGTGGCTGTGGGAAGGGCAGAGTCACCAGAGGCAGCGGCAGTGCTCGGCGATTACCTGACCCGCGCGTCCCGCTCCCGTCCATACCCACCAGGCCTGCCACAGCCTAACCACTGGGCACTGTACAGGAAAGGTTTGCCAACAGTTCAGTGTGCAAATCGAGCCATGATCAAATGGTGTTTTACAGCTCTATCAGCCATGTGGCACCAACCAAGAAAAGAGACCTTCGTAGTGGAGCCACTGCAGAGAAGACAGAAAATATATACAGTTCTTGGGGAAAAGGACCAAAGGACATCTTTCAAACAAGCATGGGACACCCCAACACTTAAGAATCATCCTAGGAATCCAGGATATGGCCCAAGGGGTAGAGTACAGACAAGGCCCTGAATCTGATCCACATGCCCCCTACCCCAAAAAGCAACATGGGGCATAGGCCTGTTGACCCCCCAGCATCACTGAATATATAGCCCCACAACAAAATAAATACATAAATAACCCAACAAAAAATGTTAAAGAATCTTAAAAAAAGAAAGAAAGAAACTCACTCTCAGTATGATAAAGATCAGGGAAAATGAAGCCCAAACATTTCTATAGCAATCCAGGTTTTCAAGTAAAACTTGACCTGACTTGGAATGATGGAAATATACTGACAATTTCTGCCCTGTGCACTTAAAGCTCTCAGCAGTGCCTGTGCAATGTGCAGCTTGGAGGGATGAGACTTCCTCACTGATGCAGCAGAGCTGGGAGAGGAGCATCCAGGGCACGCGGGCAGCTGGGTAGGGTCAGCACAACGTGCAGCAGGGAGCAGCACATCCCCAGAGAGTGAAGCTTTGTTCCTAGGCCTGTGTGTTCCCCCTCTGCCCAGTCAGGAACTCACGTGGGCCGCCCAGCTGCAGGTTCCCCTTCCCCGTCTGCCCAGCCTTCCCCATACGGCTCCTCCTCTGGGCTGGGGGGGAGGGGGGGTCAACACCCACCCTCTTCTGCAACTGGGTGGGTCATGCTGGAGGACTGCTTGGTGGAGGGCCCAGATCTACCCTCACAGCATCACATCTATCCCCAGAGTTTGGCAGAGCGTTGGATGGGCAGATGGACACACGCACAGATGGCAGGACAGACAGACAGACAGACAAAGGGCTCAACTTCATGACTGATGAGCGATGGTTTGAAATGCTCTTCACTATGAGTTCTTGCACTGCGTTCCTTCCATCTTTCATTACATCCCTCTGAATAAACTAACCATCTGATCTGTCTCCCCCAAGTGCTGTGCCTGTTCAAATCTTCCATCTAAACTGGCTCCTTATCATTTTTAGTGGATTATTCATAACAAGCGATACAAAATTAATTATTGAGGTCTTGCTCTGGGGTCAGGCTTTGGGAGTCGAGTGGAAATATTTGAAATACAGTGATGGGAAGGTATCATGGTGGTGGGACTGGTATTGGAATATTAAATATAATAAATTATCGTGAACTTTATAAAAATAAAATTTGAAATTAAAAAAATATAAAAATAAACTGGCTCCTTAAGGTCTGTCCATCGGAGAAAGTCAAAGGTGGGGATGAATCCTGACCTGTGAGGATGGGCTGGGTGGGCTCTGGCTCAGCACAGGAACAGGAAAGAGATGACACGGGAAGGTCTGGAGTGTGAGGGCCAGCGACCGAGGGGCGAGGGGAGGCTGGGAGGGGCAGCCTAGGCAGGGGACAGGACCAGCATTACTTTGTCACGCAACTTTAAAACCACACACAAAATTCAAAGCAGTAAGTAGGAGGTCATTTGGAACAGCTCTGCAGTGGGGGCCTCTGTTCTGGCTTTGATTGCTCTCAACCAACAGATTTTTTTTTTAAGTCAGCAATTACCACATGTCTATTCTAAGCTATACAAACAAGTCAAAGAACAAATCAAAAACAAAAATGCTGCCATTATCAAATACACAAATAAATTTTTTCCTACAGAAGAGTAAATCAAATCCCATCTTACTGCACCACTCTAGTTCTTTTCCAAAGCATTTCTTTAAGAATAAAGTTAATTGGTAACAAAATGTCCTTGAAGTCATTTTGCTTATTTGGTTCCCCCAAATATACTTGAACAGGGAGTCCATGTTCTGCTGTGCTTGCTCCAAGCCTCACCCGTGCCCCTCACAGAGCTTATCCATTAGGGCCTCTTGTGTCCAAGAAGCGAAGGTGGTAACATTCAGACTGGCGGAAACAAGGCAAGGTGGTTCCGGAGGACTCTCCCAACCAGATCAACACCCACACACTCACTCACCCTGTGCCCAGCCTCGTCCCTCGCTCCTCATCAAGACGCAGAGGCTTAGCAAAGTCCCCGCTGATAACAGCACACCCTTCATCTACCTCCCAGTGGAAACTATGAGGCCACGAGCAGAAGCTCTCCTAAGCTACTCACTCCAAAACCAATGATCTGAAACATGCCCTGTCTCGGCAGCAAGCTCAGCAGCAGCTGGGAGAGGGAGAGGGGCTCCAAGCAAGACCCCAGGAGAAACATGGCCTCCCTCACCCCTGAGGAGTCCTGGCTGGCATCAAGTGCATGTGCACAAGTTTCTGTCTACCTAACACTGGCTGTCGGAATAATGTCTGGCCAGTGCGTATGAAAACAGCTTACCACATCAATGCAGAGATTAGAAACAGGGGCTTCCCCGAGACACTGTGGTTTGGTAGCGGATGTGCAGCTCTCGCCGGGACAGATGGCAGTGTCCTGACAGCGGCGCTGACAGCGGCTCAGCTGCAAGGGAGGGCTCCACACACACTCCGGCCCTCCTGACTGCATCTTGGCCCCACAAAGGGCCTCTGTGTCCATGCAGGTGACAGAAAACACAGAGATGCTTGTGAGCTGACCTGAATGAGCTCGATGACCACCTGGGCTGAGCCCTGGTCCTGCTGAGAATCTGAAGGGCCTCAACTGTCAGGAATCAAGGCGGGAAACAAGGGTCAGGAGACTGCCCACTCTCGGTAAGTCGATGCTTTCTGACCGGACACACTGCAGCGATGCTAGTGGAACCACAAATGCATTGAGCGCCACCTCCACCTCCTGCGCTGACATCTTGGGAATGCAGGCACAGCCTTTTCTGTGCGCAGGGAGCCCACAGAGTCCACCATCCTCTCAAAACAGGCTGAGAGAAAGACAGAAGACCACGCAGTGCAGAAGGACGGGGCCTGTTGGACTGGCAGTCTGGATTCCGCAAACTACCAGGTTAGTGACCCAAGGACCCCAGACCGTGAGAAGACCCCCGTTCCCCAAACACCCTCCTCCAACAAAGGACAACATTTTCTAAGCAAGGTCTGCTGGCCAATTTCAAGTCATTTTGAAAGAAGCAGAGCAGTCAAGGTAATAGAAAAACAGGAAATTGCTTCTTCTCATCAGTTGTTTTGCAATCTTCCTAGAAAGTACTTCAGCAGCAATTACGTGCATATATGCTGAGTCAAGGGGACAGATGCTGTGGCAGGGCTTTACCAGCAGCCAGGACCAGCACTGTGACTTCTGGGAAAGCTCATGCATGCCTGGTGCCTGCAGGATGTGTCTCTAGCTGGCGCTGTGAAACCCCCACTAGCTGTACCCTGGCCCATCTGCTGCAGATGGCACCCAGGCTCAAACCTGGGCCCACCATTCCCTCAGGGAGACCCTCTCTGAGCTTCCACGTCTACCTGAGCAATGGGACCTTGAGGATGCATCTTGCCCCAGGTCCCCGCCCTGCTGGAGTCCAGCATCTCACAGCTGGAGTTCGTGGGCACTCCTGTCTGCTGTCTCCAGAGCAGCAGCCACAGAGGGGGCGTCTGACACAGCCACCCTCCTCTCCGGGCACATCTGAGGGTGGGACACAGCACAGAGCCGCTTCCTCTCTCAGGCGCCCAAGTCCCCAGTCCAGCCAAGTTCCTTCCTTGTTACTCAACTACACTCAAGTGTTTACTGGGTTTTCAAGTGGCGACATCTTCCTGAAGTTCCACGGGCCACTTCCTGAGTCAGTGATAAGCCTCGGTCACTGAGGACACCAGCCCAGCAGCCCTGCAGAAGGCCCTACCCAGTGCTTACATTTCAGCCTCCCAGGAGGGGGGGTTGGGGGTGGAGAGAGGGAGGGAGGGAGGGAGGGAGGAGAGAGAGAGAGAGAGAGAGAGAGAGAGAGAGAGAGAGAGCGCTTTGAGTAAAAAAAGCAAATGAAGAGAGAATAAGTTCAGGTTACCCGAGTTGGAAAAGAGTGAGCGTAGAGAGACCATGGGAAAGCCTGCATAGTGGAAGATGAGAAGTGCACCCTTCAGACCAGAGAGCGGGGGTGAAGAGGGCATGTGAACAGAACAGGGCCACCCCTGCGCTCACGAGACCCTCAGCCTGAGACAGTGCTGGCCGAGTGACTGCAACCCAGACTCTCGAGCTCATTTCCGGGTCACATCAGTGCAGGGTGAGAAATGAGCCCAACACCACACCAAGCACAGGCCGGCAGCTGCAAACAAAGAGTCGCTCTGTGCAGGCCGTCCTCTGTGCCTCAGGCCTGGGCAGCTGGGCTGTGCCACCACCACACATTGCACAGGCAGCCTGTGGCCGGGGTGGCCTCGCTTTTGACACAGCCATCGTGGGCATTCTGCAGATGACAGCGTGCATGGGGCGGTTCCCGCCATGATGACAGCCTCGTCTCTCTCCCCCAGGGAAGACACGTACTGAAGAACACAGCGATGCCCACTGATTCAGACACTCTGGCAGGAGAGGAAGCAGAATCCCTCCTCTTATCCTGTACCACTTTCTCCCCCAGACGGCTGTAGCTGCTCATGACTCTGCCCAGGAAAACCTCTGAGTACATGGTTCATGTAAGCTCCACATGCAAGGGTGCTGCACAGGAACCGCACCCCTCGCTCGCAGTTTGTGTTTTTGCTTGTCTTGGCCTGACCTCAGCGAGTGTTCGGGGCACGAGAGGTCACCCAACAAGGGGGGGTTATCTGGATGCCCGCCCAGACCCGGGGGCTGCCACTCTCCCTCCTCACAGAACCTTAGCATGGAGGCCGCTC